GCTCCTTTTGTGGCAGACCACCAATGTGGCCTACACTTGATCTTCGGAGCTCGATGAGGACGGCATTGGAATGGTTCCCTATCAACAAGTTAAGCAGATCAAGCAGGCACTTTCAGTGAACCGTGCCAGCCTCAGTCTTCCATTGGAAGCAGTCCCTGAAGAAGATGGGGCTGGAGAAATTCCCTTTGACCATCCCAGCGCCGAACCCGATAGCGACGATGAAATGCCTGCTCAGCCAGGCTGGACACCTGCGGCCGGTCAGCTGGCCGACCTCGAACTTTTCATGGCAAGTTTGGTCATCCTGGGAATCGAGACTTCGCGCGACTTCTGAGACGGGGAAATGCAGGGCCTGAGTTGGCGCGCTGAAGTGCGACGAGTGCAACGCGCCTAAACGACTTTATGCTCGTCGTCCTGCTGATGTTCCTAAGTCCTTTCGCTCTAACCATGTTGTTGGTATTGCTTTGGTCGAAATCAACTGCCTACTCGATGATGCACCTCAGTTTTTGAATCGACATCATGCGTTGGGGCACCTTTTTTTGTATTAGTTGGACATGTGGGGGCAGGGGAGTCAGCCGATGTAGTATGGCAGGCATGTGTGCATGGATTGGCACGAGTGTTTGGCATGCCAAATGTTGTCAACATTCTTCCTGGATCGAAGTTTCAGGAAACGTTTGCCGATGAGATGCAAAACAGGGGTGCGTGCCCTTTCCCCGCTGATGCCCGTTCACAATGGCAAAACGGTCGAACTGAAAGTGTTGGCAAAGAGTGGAGACAATAGAGCAGTTTAGCCGTTCATCGGGTAAGTCAGGACATTCCTGCCAGATGGTATGCGATGGGAGAGTTGTGTTGTTTTGTTCGGAACCGTCACCAGAACTGTTTTTTTTGTATGTGTGTGTGTGTGTGTGTTTGGTAAAGCACCTATATATACATATACACATACACCAACGTTAAGGGTTTTCGGTTTTACACGTCTACCAGCGACGCTGCTCTCCGATGATCCCGCAGATCCCGAATTCGTGTCTACCACTGCGGTGCAGTATTTCCTCTGAGCGGGAGAGCTACGCCGAACCGCTATGAAAACGTGGACTGCTATGGGCAGCCGAACTCGACTACTTCGAGTCCTCGGTGCCAGCACCCCCGTGCAACTTACACACGCACGCCTATTCCTTGTTCTTCTACTGGACCGTCGGCTTCGTCGTGGTGTTGTTGCTGTCGTCCTTGTTGTTGTCGATTTCCTCGATTCCGGGTTCCACCATGACTCGGCCAGCGTGGTTGCCAGGATGAACAGATAGTCCTCCGAAGCCTTGGTGCGTTTCGTGCCGGTGCCGTTGACGTTGCCCCCCGACATGGAGTGCTTGCGAACGTGGTCGCGCCTCGTACTCATGACCGCTGCCATGAGCTTCTGGGTTGTCTTGATGATGTTCAGACGTTTGGCCAACTCGTCGTTGTCTACCAGCGTCTGGCCGTGCGTGCACGGATCGAACGTCGTGTTGATACCAGGCAGCCTTGACCAGGCTACCGTCCGCCAGGCCGCGACATCACTGGATGTTCCAAATGAGCGTGACGTCCACCTTCGTGTTTCATGCTGTAGACGTCCGTGGTGAATTTCAGTTGCGTCCGATGATGCGAGTCGCATAGCTCGACAAGATTCCCCCGCCACCTTTGAAATTTGTAGACTTTCAGCCCCTGCATGTTTGGCCAGGGACCGCACATGGGTAACGCGTGGATATGGTCGGGCTGCTCCTCCAAGAGCTTCCTCTTGAGTTTCTCCTGGTGGTTGGCCTTCGAGAAGTCCCATCCTGTATGTAGAGCGAGCGTCTCGACCTTCGCTCCCGGGTCGCGCAGGGCTTGAAAGAAACGGGCCACTCCAGTATAGACCTCCCAGATCGTTCGCCTCGTCGCATAGCGCTTGGGCGCTGCTCAACGCATCGCCTGCATGTACTTATGGCTTGCGTGTTTGATTGCCGAGTCGGTCTTCTGGATGAATTGGGTCGTGACCTGCTTGTCTCCGTCTGTCTCGTCGCTGTTCGTCTTCAGGTCGAGGTTGCTGGGCGCATTTCTCGACCCGTCCGGTAGGCGCCAACATGTGCTAGGCAAGCTCGCGTCCACTGAGCGCGTGGGCGTCGTAGTGAAGCAAATATTGCGACAGTCCGTGTGATTCATGCGCTGGCGCTTCTTCATTGTTCACCTTGCCCTGACGACTCGCTGTGGGCATTCTTCGCTGTGCGCCCGTTGTTGTATCCGCTCCCTCTGCTCGCTGTCGTCGCTCGCCTTCCACAGCGTAGACCTGGCCCAGGAACTCCAGGGCGCCGATGGTCAGGTTGCCGCCGTCCACGAACGTCTCCTCGTCCACCGTCTCGTTATCGAAGTCGAGGTCGCTGTTGAACGTCTGGTCGTCCAGGCCCTCCAAGAGGTTGACCATGTAGCGGCCCTGCAGCGATGTAGTAGCTTCCTCGAAGCTCCCGCCGTTCCAGGCGACCTGCTGTTTTTTTGTTGATATGCACTCCGAACTCTTCGAGAATGGGTCTTGGAAACAAGATCGGCGTCCTACCATGGGCGACGTAGATGTGCAGCGTCCGAGTCTTCTGCTTGAAATTGGCTGGGCTGATGCCGCACCAGTGCGCGTGCTCGATCTTGCCGTTGCCGAATATGAATAGCCTGCGGCACTTGTGGAACTTGAGCTTCTCGATCGGGTACCCCTTGTTGTGGTGCTCCGCCAGGTAGTCCTTGATCGTTTCCGAACGTGACATGCGCGTAGTGGCTCTACAGTCCGGGATGCTGAACCACGCCAGGATGGTGCTATTGATCTTATTGTTGTCCCAGCCGGCCTCGTCAACCATCATTTCGTCTGAGATGTGTGGCCGCTTCTTTGGTGGCTCCGCGCAGTCCTTGGCCTAGTGTCCTTTTTTACCGCATCGGAGAAGCGTTGCCGAACTCGGTGCTGGTCTGCTTGCCGCTGCTGCCGTCCTCGATGGTCGGGGTCATGTGTATGGGTTATGAGGTGGAGGCGGAAATGATTCTTCCCGTCCTGGGCTGCCTTTCCTGGCAGGGCTGCCCTTCGCACTCCTGCCGCGTCCCTTCGCTCCCTTGCTTGATCCTCGGCCTCGTGGGGCGGCTGATGGTGAGCTCCTTGTTCCATCGGACGGGTTGACCGTCGCCGCCGCTGGGTAGACGCCTCGGGCAAGCCGAAGGTTGTTTCAACGCGTCCTCGCGTCATGGTATGTTGCGAACACCTCGTAGTACTCGCCAGTGTCGAAGTCCTGGATGGTGGCCGTCTGGTGCTGGTAGTAGCTCTTGTCGCACGTGCCACGTATCATCCTCCCGCGGCGCCCCGACAACACTTTGGCGCCTGTCCAATGTGCCTTCGGCGTGCTCTGCGCCGCCCCGAAGGCACTTTCACACTGCCTTCGGCGCGACGTGGGCGCCCAAGTCGCCCATGGAGCCCGCGTCGCCCATGTCGCCCACGTCCTCCGCCCAGTACTCCTCGTAGCCGTCGGCGAAGTCCTGCCCGTCATCCTGGCCTTTGTACGTTGCTTCCTGTGAGTACTCTCCATCTTCGTCGACGTAGTATTGCGTCCTAGCATGATTAGGCTCGGGTGCCGTAGTACTGCCTCCTAGCACGATAAACTCCTGTCCGAAGGTCGTCTCCAGCGCCTCGATGACTTTCGTCTGCGTGATTTCCTTGCCTACGATGGACATGGTGACTGCTTTCTGATCTGACCTGTAGCTTCGGTTTCGTAGAACCAGCCATCCTCGAACCTTGGCGGCACCTCGATGTCGTGCGTCTTGAGCTTGCTTTCGGCCGCTCGAAGTCTCGATCTGTGGCTAAACAGCGTCTCGCTCTTGATCCGCTTTAGCCTGTGGAAGTACTCTTCGAAATCATCTGCCAACTCCGATCGCGTGTCCATCTTGAGCCGTCGTCGAAATCGTTCGTGTAGTTCCTTGGCGGCGCCCGGCTTGGTCAGGTCGTCCGCCGTGAGTTCCTCAAGCTTGCCCCAGGCCTCGTTAGTGAGGCTTGTCGATAGCATGAGCCGCTTCGCCCTCCTTTTTCTCCAAGGTTGGTTTCGCAACGACCACTCTTTCCATCTTGATAGAGTGCTGTGGAATTCTGGAACTCCGCGTTCCGGTAGGACCGAATGGTGAATATCGTTGCTTGCTGCTGATTTCGCCATGTGCTGTCGATGATACTGAAGGTGCCGTTCGTGTCGAGCTGTCGTGCCGGCTGCTGATTGTAGTGCTGCTGGTCGTAGATGTAGAAGTCGTTGGAGTTCGATTCCGTCGAGCTGTCGCGGCAGCCGATGTTGCCGAAGTTGAATATGGAGGTGCAGTCGTCGAGCTGTTCGAGCAAGCCGCTGGATGTGGAGGGCGCTGACGAGCCTGCCGAGAGATCGACAGGCTCCGCTACCTATATGAGCTTACAACATTCCCCGAAGTCTGTAATGGCAGTGAAATTAGATATGAAAAAGGGGATAACTCCATAATGTTTCCACAACGCGGAGCAGTGACTCAACGGCCTTACTGTTTAGGCCGTAATTTACACGGAAAAGGCTGTTTAGGATGGTACACCCCTTCTCCTCTCATATCTCTCTCTCTCTCTCTCTTTCTTTACAGCTCTGCATACAGACATGTACAACATATATCTCACTCAGGCCACAGGGAGGTCCCTAACTTTCCCAGGGAGGAGACATGGCTTAAGTTTTTGGACCCTTGCCTCTGCTCTGGGGGCCGTCTGGGCTTCCCTGGGAGGCCGGTGTCTTCTTGTCATGGCGCCAACATCGCAGAGCGGATCTCTGTCGGAAAACAATAGGGTGGGCCCAGACATTCCTGGATTTCGTGAGGACCTTTTGGCCAGGAATGAGTACTTGAAACATCCAGTTGAAATTCACTTCGTTGTTCGCTCGCCGTCTCGGGTTTTTGCATTGACAAATGTCCACGCAACGCATCCGCTGCAGCACGTCCTCAAGATCGGTGCAGTGATCCTTCGGCCGCGCCCTAGCAAGGTGGACATGCTGGACCTGGCCGCGAACGTCGTCGACACATCTTCGGGGGGGGGTCAGGCGGGGACGGCGGGCGCTGGGCACGTCTGCGGGCCGACAGGCAGGCGGTGGGAGGGAGGGAGGGAGGAAGGGAGGGAGGGAGGGAGGGAGGGAGGAGAACGGTAAACGGTGGCAACTGGCGCCCTAAGGTCTTGAATGTCTGAATTGTGGAGGTACAGTGGCACCCCTCCCTACGGCCGTCTTTGTTGGCCGAGGGACCGTAGGGAGGTCCTCGCCCCCCTCCAGCGCCAATGACGGCTTCATGGATTGGTGTACTGATGGGAGTGGGGCCCCGGCAGCCCCTACGATGGTAGCTGCCGAGGGGTGGCGCATATGGTCGTCACCACTGGAAGAGCAGAGGCCTATGATCCTCGCCAGCGACGAACAAAAAGAGGAGGCCGATGTCAGTCGTCTGGCCGCCCGTTCTGCGTCCTGGTCCTGAGGCGGGATCTCCTGAAATGGAGGGGGCGGAACAAAAAACGGCATGCCCCTGCACAGCTTCGACCCCGAACCGTGTAGGACCTGCGCACTCGGTATTCCGCGGGGGGGGACAACGAGTGCGCGCGCTCACGCTTTGGTGCCAGTTTGCTACGCCCATAGGGGCGGACGCAGCGTGCCCACCCAGGGGTAAACCAAGGGCCCCGGGGACAGCCGCGCCCCGCCGAGAGCATGCCTGAGGAGGGGGAGGCAACCCCCGAATCAGGACCCAGAACCTCGCGACCGAGCGCCATGAGGACAGATATCCGGGGGCTAGCAAATCCCACATCGAGCAGGCTGCAACGGAGGGCGGGATGTGTCCGCCCCCCGCCTGGGCGCCACAAAATGGAGCCAACCCAGAAAAATCCCCCAGGGAGAGGTCTGGTTAGGCCACATTCGTCTGAGAGCCCTGCTCGCACACTGTCGCGAGGCGGCCTCGAGGCGCGGAACGGCCAGTACATCCAAAGTAGTGGACCCCAGACAGACGGTTCGGTGACTTATGTTCCGCCGACAGTAGCCCCTGGGGGCTGGCGAAACCGAGGATACGCCAGCACAGCCAGACCAAGGGAGGCAGGGAGTCTGGGAGGGAGGGAGGGAAGGATGGAGGGAGGGAGGGAGGGAGGGAGGGAGGGAGGAGGAGGAGGAGGAGGAGGAGGAGGAGGAAAAAGGGGAGGAGGAGGAGGAGGAGGAGGAGGAGGAGGAGGAGGAGGAGGAGGAGGAGGCACCTGGGCCGCTGACGCCGCAGCAGCAGCAGCGCTGCTGCCGACTCCCGCTGCGCTTGGGCGGCCGCGACCTCCGCAACTAGGAGGAGCTGGCCCCGGCGGCCTGGGCGGCTTCTGGGCGCAGAGCCTGGCTGCTTTGCGGGCTCGGACGGGCCTGGCCTCCTTGGACGACCTGGGCGCGAGCCCGCTGCCGCTCGCCGCCGCCTGCTGGAGCAGCCTCTCCGGGCTCGCGGCGCTCCCGCCGCCGCCGCCGCCCCGCTGGGGTGCTCACGGCACCGACAAGCTGTCCACTTGGGCCGAGCCAGCAGCCGTGCCTCTGAAGAAGTTCCGAAAGGCGCTCACCGCAGAGAAAGACCAAACGAACTTCAATTCCTTGCTGGGCCCCTTGGACTCCGAAGAGGACCAGGCGCTGCCCCGCTCCAATCTGGCAGACCGCCTCGCCTAGCGAGCGCGGGCAGCAGCTGAGCGACGCTGACTTCCGCCCCGCGACGCGGTGCCTCTTGGGCCAGGGCGCGGCGCCCCCGGTGGCCACCTGCCAGACCTGCACCCGCGTTGGGGTGCGGGCTGGCCAGCGTTGTGGCACTGCGGCGATCCGCTCTGCTCGAAGGCTCGCCACGCCTGGCGCTGCGCACGCGGGGGCGTGCGGAAGGCGCGCAGCGGCGACCTGGAGACCGCGTGGAAGCGGATCCACGCCGAATGCGGCTACCGCGTCGCGCGGCAAACGCCGGTGCCGGCCTGGGACCGCTGGCGCTGGCGCTGCGCTGGCTGCGAGGCAGGCCGCGCGGCGGCCGCGCGCCTGGCGTCGGGGGTGGCCTGCGCCAGCTGCGGGGCTGCGCTGACGGCCAGGCGCGAGGAAGCTATCCTCGACATGGAGCTCAAGTGGGCGGACGCCCCGCGGTTGTTCGTCGACGTCACGGTGCGCCGCGGCGTGCTGGGCGACGCCGACGGGCTCCGTGCCGCCGCGGCGCGCGACGGCGCCGTCTGCGGGGGCGCCGAAGCTGACGAGCACGCCTGGTACCTTGCAGGGCGTACGCCATGGCCCATGCCATGGCGCACGGTGCCACTCGCGCTCGACATGGGCGGCCGCCGCGGTCCGGCCGCCCTGCGCCACCTGTGGTGCTTGGCGTGAGACCGCGCCCTGCGGCCGCGGCGGCAGCCGGCGCCCTGGCGCGCCGCTGGGGCGCCGAGCTGTCTATGGCGCCCCAGGCTGCCACGGCGCGCCAGCTGCGCGCGGCGTTCGGGGTGGAAGCGGGGCGGCCGGGCGCCCGGCCCGCCCTGGCCGCCTCGCTGGGCTGGCG